AACCGTTTGCGATGGCGCCAGTGCATTTATTCTTTGTGTTCTCTCAACAAATCCTAATCTTATGGATTATTCAACACCTCTAGTTTTGACTTTCTAAACTTTTCTCACTTAATCATACTTTTGAATAATATATCCTAATCCTAACCTCTCTGATTACTGCTAATACTTCTTAGACCTCTTCTACTATTGGATTTGAATTGACAATTATATCTCTGTGCTGATGTAGTATGGCAACTTGAACTGATGTACTTACGTACGAAGTTCTACGTTGCATCTGACTAACTGATTAATCAACAATAACATTGTAGGATCAACTAGGAATGTATTTCTTTCGAAAATACTAAACTTCATGTCATCAAAATGAAAACAGTGTTGATTAGTGAGTGATGAAGAGCAAGAGAATGCGAATATCAACTTGAAAAGTAAGCTAAATGTGGAAAATGAATATGTCTACTCCAATGGAGATGAATTTTCAGCCAAACCATTCGGCATCTATAACTAGTAGTGCCTGGGCGATCAAATATTCATTGACTTCACTAATCAATGGTTTACATAGTACAAAATGAGTTTATTTCATAAATTTGATGAACAAATAAACAAGAAATAATATTTATTTGAAGATTATTTGATACACCTGAAATTTGCTTTTGTGATTAGAGACCTTGAACGATATGGCTCAAAACCGTTTGCGATGGCGCCAGTGCATTTATTCTTTGTGTTCTCTCAACAAATCCTAATCTTATGGATTATTCAACACCTCTAGTTTTGACTTTCTAAACTTTTCTCACTTAATCATACTTTTGAATAATATATCCTAATCCTAACCTCTCTGATTACTGCTAATACTTCTTAGACCTCTTCTACTATTGGATTTGAATTGACAATTATATCTCTGTGCTGATGTAGTATGGCAACTTGAACTGATGTACTTACGTACGAAGTTCTACGTTGCATCTGACTAACTGATTAATCAACAATAACATTGTAGGATCAACTAGGAATGTATTTCTTTCGAAAATACTAAACTTCATGTCATCAAAATGAAAACAGTGTTGATTAGTGAGTGATGAAGAGCAAGAGAATGCGAATATCAACTTGAAAAGTAAGCTAAATGTGGAAAATGAATATGTCTACTCCATTGGAGATGAATTTTCAGCCAAACCATTCGGCATCTATAACTAGTAGTGCCTGGGCGATCAAATATTCATTGACTTCACTAATCAATGGTTTACATAGTACAAAATGAGTTTATTTCATAAATTTGATGAACAAATAAACAAGAAATAATATTTATTTGAAGATTATTTGATACACCTGAAATTTGCTTTTGTGATTAGAGACCTTGAACGATATGGCTCAAAACCGTTTGCGATGGCGCCAGTGCATTTATTCTTTGTGTTCTCTCAACAAATCCTAATCTTATGGATTATTCAACACCTCTAGTTTTGACTTTCTAAACTTTTCTCACTTAATCATACTTTTGAATAATATATCCTAATCCTAACCTCTCTGATTACTGCTAATACTTCTTAGACCTCTTCTACTATTGGATTTGAATTGACAATTATATCTCTGTGCTGATGTAGTAGTGGCAACTTGAACTGATGTACTTACGTACGAAGTTCTACGTTGCATCTGACTAACTGATTAATCAACAATAACATTGTAGGATCAACTAGGAATGTATTTCTTTCGAAAATACTAAACTTCATGTCATCAAAATGAAAACAGTGTTGATTAGTGAGTGATGAAGAGCAAGAGAATGCGAATATCAACTTGAAAAGTAAGCTAAATGTGGAAAATGAATATGTCTACTCCATTGGAGATGAATTTTCAGCCAAACCATTCGGCATCTATAACTAGTAGTGCCTGGGCGATCAAATATTCATTGACTTCACTAATCAATGGTTTACATAGTACAAAATGAGTTTATTTCATAAATTTGATGAACAAATAAACAAGAAATAATATTTATTTGAAGATTATTTGATACACCTGAAATTTGCTTTTGTGATTAGAGACCTTGAACGATATGGCTCAAAACCGTTTGCGATGGCGCCAGTGCATTTATTCTTTGTGTTCTCTCAACAAATCCTAATCTTATGGATTATTCAACACCTCTAGTTTTGACTTTCTAAACTTTTCTCACTTAATCATACTTTTGAATAATATATCCTAATCCTAACCTCTCTGATTACTGCTAATACTTCTTAGACCTCTTCTACTATTGGATTTGAATTGACAATTATATCTCTGTGCTGATGTAGTATGGCAACTTGAACTGATGTACTTACGTACGAAGTTCTACGTTGCATCTGACTAACTGATTAATCAACAATAACATTGTAGGATCAACTAGGAATGTATTTCTTTCGAAAATACTAAACTTCATGTCATCAAAATGAAAACAGTGTTGATTAGTGAGTGATGAAGAGCAAGAGAATGCGAATATCAACTTGAAAAGTAAGCTAAATGTGGAAAATGAATATGTCTACTCCATTGGAGATGAATTTTCAGCCAAACCATTCGGCATCTATAACTAGTAGTGCCTGGGCGATCAAATATTCATTGACTTCACTAATCAATGGTTTACATAGTACAAAATGAGTTTATTTCATAAATTTGATGAACAAATAAACAAGAAATAATATTTATCTGAAGATTATTTTTGATACACCTGAAATTTGTTTTTGTGGTTAAAGACCTTGAACGATATGGCTCAAAATCATTTTTCAGTGGTGCAGGTGCATTCATTCATTGTGTTCTCTTAAATTCTAGTCTTCTGAATTACTCATTACCTGTATCTTTCTCTTTTTATGTCTATTTCACTAAATTCTACTTCTTGAATAATATCCTCGAAGCCTAATCTCTCCGATTACTGTTAATACTTTTTACTACCTCTACTACTATGGGATTTGAAGTGACAACTACATTTCTGTGCTAATGTGGTATGGTAACTTGAACTGACGTACGTATGTACGCACGTATGAAGTTCTACGTTGCTGCTGACTGACTGATTGATTGACTAATTGTTTGTGTTGTAATTTTAAGTAGATTGAATAATTGCGAGTTTGGAAAATTATTATAAAACTCCTACCAATTACAGAGCATACTATCGATGGATTTCAGAACATACTGAAAAAAAAAATTACATACCTTTAAAATAATTCCAGCTAGAAATACTGAGTTATAAAATGACTGTATAATAATTTCCCACTTTTAGTGTACCTATGAAATTATTCCTTCCGGTAGGTTAATCACTTTTACAAAGATATTAATAAGACTTATAACCTTATGCACGGAAGACTATTTTAGTTATATAAATAATATCCTTAATTCTAGACTATTTATTGATTTTTGGGTAATGATTTTGCTGCCTATTCAAGAAGTCATAGTTCATATTATGGATTGATCTTGCTTAAACCAACAATAAATGCTTGCAAATAGAATACAGCTGTTTCATCTTAGAACAGGAGTATTCACCAGTGATCGTCTGTGACCCCATTAGAGGTGATCGAACTCAGTGCACTTGGTCTCATGTATTAACGCTTTACATCAAGATTATTCAATCTGAATCCATTGGTTCATATGTCTAAATGCAATTGGATCTTCATGTCGTATAGCCATCTTCAAGTGATGTCGATGGGCAACAGGCTCACACCAGACATAGATGAACTAATTAGGGATCCAGGAATAGCTGCTGGAATGTTGAATTTCACAGTCATAGTTCTTGTTATGGACTGATCTTGCTTAAACCAACATTAAAGATTGGGAGACATTATACGGCTGTTTCATCTTAGCACGGGACTATTCACCAGTGATCGTCCATGACTCCACCAGAGATGATCTAACTCAAGGCATTCGGTCTCCAATCCAATGGTTCATATGTCTAAATGCGATCGGATTTTTATGTCGTATAGCCATCTTCAAGTGACGTCGGTGGGTAACTGGTTCACATAAGAAATGGCTGGACTTCATTGGTTATAGCTTCTGATTAGGAATCCAGGAATTGCTCTTAGAAATCAGTCACTAGTGAACACATGATGATTACTATGGAATATTAATAAAGAATGTCGAATTTCACAGTTTACATTACAGTCCAACCATAGTTATGCAACCAGTGAGAATCAAAAAACGTTAGACAGTTAAGGATAAGAAAGGAAATTTCTATTATTTTATTGAAATTGAAAAAAAGATAATTTGTTTAACTGAAGTATTCAAGAGGATTTGATCAAATAATGTAAACGAAATAAGGAGTCGCATTTCATTCGAAGGAACTGGTAACAGATAAATTTCATATATATAAACTATAACAATCCATATTCACAGTTTTATTAATCCTCAAATCCATCCTGCTTTGGGACTCATCAGCAGTCAGCATCCACGACTCCTGCCACTCTCAGGATTCGAACCCAGGACCTTCGTTCTTGGGCGTGAATGCCTAAACTCTGGACCACCGAGTAGACATCCAGTGGTGGAGTTCAACCCTTTCAGATCTAGGTAGTAACTATAGAAGACAAGTGGGTGGGGTCGCGCATAATCGCCAAATGAATTAGAGCTAGACATTATCACAGTTGCGTGCTGCACCAGTAGTCCGGAAGTTAGGCGTTCGTGCGCCAAACCCGAAGGTGCTGGGTTCGAATCCTGAGAAGAACAGGAGTCGTGGATGCTCACTGCTGATGAGTCCAATACCAGGATGGAACGGTCGTCAAGTGCTTCTAGGTTTCTAATACTATGGTCTAACAATCATTGGTTGATGCTTTTAGGAATACACAACAGTCTCCATAACTGTAACTGATAAATAATTACTATACGTAAACTAATTGGACTGATGAACAATAACATCTACACAGTAGAATGAACTAGGACTTAAGCAAATACTAGACATTCTACAAGTGATAACTGATTGCTGTTCGATCACATTATACCATTAGTTAATTTAGAATATTGAATAGCACTTATTTTAATTTTACAAACCAATTTTTTATTTTATTATTTCAGTGTGCATATTTTTAAACATTCTCAATTTGCTAGAAAATTATTCAATATTGAAGAGATATTATGTAGACATAAAAGTGTACGACAATTAATTGATAGTAATATAGGTGAAATGCATAATTCCGACTCATTATTCGGTCAGCTGATCAATGATTCGAAATTGAATTTAACCAGTAAGTTCATCTCTTTGATATTTACTGACTTAAGATAAAGTATAAATATTAGGTTAATACTTGAATATAATAATGATATAGAATTCATGAAGATATTTCAGTAGTAATAGAAGTAGTAGTGTGGGGTACGCTACTTATTTTCACATAAGTAGTATATGATATCAAATGGAAATCAAACACCTGACAGCAAAAGATCGAGAAGGAAAGAATGAAACAGAAGGCGATTTGTAGGGAACGTAAAGTGAACTGAAGTCTGAACAGTATAAATGAAAGAACACTGAAATCTGAAACAAATAAGAATTAGTTTGCAAATGATGATTCACGGGAAGGTTTTGTAAATATGCCTAACAACTCTGTAATATTCGCTTAACTTCATTGTTGATGTCCTCACCTGAGTTTTCGTGCACAACAGTAGTAGTAGTAATAGAAGTAGTAGCAATAATAACCTTATACACATTATGAAATCACAAACGTCATACATTTACAGTTTAGTCTTACATAATAAATTCTGAATACGTCATTTTAGTGATGGGCAGAAATTTTCAACAGTTAACTTCTAAATAAGAGACTTTGACGCACAAAGAAACTTATTTCCTTATAGATTTCATTTGTCCTTTGATTATGCAACTTGATAACCAAAAAGCTATCAAATTTATTGTTTTATCGTTAAAAAAGGCTATTTTTCCGTTTCAATCAGAATGTTGCTTTCATCGGATTCACTTAAAAAATTAATTTCTCTTAATTTATCCGGTATAAATTCCAACTGTTTATTCACTTTCAAAATCAATCACAAATGTTTTAGTGAAATGATACATGATTTGATTGTTCACAGGAAATTTTTAATATTTATATTGAATAGTCAGCTGGCTACTATCTGTCAGTAATTAATTTTGTTTACAATCGTACAAATAATTGAATGTAATGAATGTTGCTTACAATTGTGGTAGATACCACTAGCAGCGTGGGTTCTATGTAGTGTACAGCGGAGTGTCATCCGAAAGTTACTGGTGGAGAGAAGAATGTCGGATTGAAATGTTTGTCATCAAGATCAGGAGAAAATTGAAAAAAGGGAGCCAGTAATTATATGCTCGTCAACTGATATACTTGAAACTATTACGAGTCCACCCTAGTCGGTAAACGAGAGCGAAGGAAAGTGATCCAGTGACAAGATAGGCTACTCTAATCCGAGCGTCTCAAGGCCCCACTAAGTAGAGGAAGAAGTCTAGGCAAAACGTAGAAAGTGTATTCTAAAAGCACCCAGAAAATATCAGGTTGACAAGCACACAAATCGAGTTTATTTATACATGATAGAAACGTCCTTGGGCGAGCCACAAAGTAACATATCAACCATTGACAGTCAAAGATTTTCCGAGTGGAAAATGTAATCTCAAGGTCAACTGACCAACCCATGCTCAAAAGCATAAAATCGAGTGAGTTCTAGGGATCTAACGTCCACAACAAGTAATATACTTGTTTTGTAAATCAAGTCTGAAGATGAAGTATACATATTTTGCTGATAAATTGTATATTTCCTAGATATACTACCAGTCCTTCAGGTGTTGATGTCTTCTTTCATTATATGAAGATAGTGCGGTAAAGATAAACGCCTTTTAATGTTCAAAAAATTTCGACCAATCAGATTTACGGAAGAAACTAAACTTGTTTACGTGATACTTTCGAATGGTTGACGATATCATTAAACTTATAGGATAACACGAAAGTTATTTTTTTCAACAAATAATCCGTCAATCTTGTCATTTTTCCATTTCTTATTTTTTTTCTATTAGAAACCGATATCTCACGTCTTTCATTTGAATTTATGGCTGCTGGTACTGATACAACATCTTTAACATTAACATGGGCTTGTGATTATTTAGCCAGAACTCCATCGATCGATTCATTTAAACTAAGCTCCGATTTTATTGATATGATTCATCGTTGGGCTAGTGTAGTTCCATTAGCTTTGCCTCATACAGTACGTGAATCATTTCAATTGAAAAATTATCACATACCAAAATCAGCTATTTTAATTTATAATCTTTATGCTGTTCATAATAGTCAAATAAAAAATTTACTAAATAACAAAATAGTAAAATCCAATGAAATTCAACAAAGTGATAGGCCAATACCATTTTCACTTGGTAAGTTAGATCGAAATGATTTTATCGATTTTTTTGATTCAACATACTCTTACTAAGAGTCTGTTGTTTTCAGTTCTAATTGAGATAACTAGTGAAGTAGCTATTATTATTCCTAATGTTACTCCTAATCTGGTTTTTTTCAGTTTCAGTTATGGTGATTAGTGTGTTTTGCACATTGAAATCATCAATCAATCATTGTTAGACCACCATTAGAAACCTGGAAGCACTGGAAGGCCGTTTCATCCAGGCGTAAGACTCATCAGCGGTGTGCGTCCATGACTTTTACAACTCGCAGACGTTAGGCGTTCGCGAGCAAGACCGATGATTCTGAGTTCGAATCCTGTGAGGTGCAGGAGTCGTAGATGCGTACTGCTGATGAGTCCCATACCAGGACGAAACGGCCGTCCAGTGCTTCCAGGTTTCTAATGGTGGTCTAATAATGATTGATTAATCTACTTGTTAAAAAGAAACATTTATTGCCTGTATCTTCATTAGAATTGGTTTTTGTACTCTTAGATCGGAAATTTTCTATCAGAGTTAGGTGAAATTGTGTGAGGAGGTGATGTATGCTCATTTTCTTGATCAAAATGTATTTCTCACTGTAAATTAGCTAAAATTTTGAAACCGTCGCGTTCTACAGATCTTTTGGGCATAGCTGAAGAATCTGCCTGCACAAGTCAGATTTCTGGGCACAATCGAAAGCCATTTAAATGATTACTTGGAACTTTCATTAAGTTTTGTGTTACTGAAAGAGTTTTTTACACTGTTGCATAAATCAAAAATCAAGTTCACACTTTCTTACGTGATAGGCTTTATGACTTATTCTGTCTACAGTACATGTATAAACTTAAACACGCTATATAAGAAGCTACTAATTTAGGCACGTTATTGAACCTGATTTTCATTCATTTTGAACTTTATCTATGTCATGATTGTTCATCAGTATGTCCCAAAATCTTGAGCTTCAGCAGTCAACAAGTTATGTATCCTCATTAAATTAAGAGGACTTGACCAGTGGAGTTCAGCACTGTCGAGCGTAGTCAGTAACTACTGAAGACAAATTGATGAGGTCGCGCAAAATCCTTAGATTGATCGGAGTTAGACATTAACGCCGTCGGATACCGGCCCAGTGGTCCAGAGGTGTAGTGTTCACACGCAAGACCGAAAGTCCTGGGTTCGAAACTTGTGAATATCAAAGGTTGTGGATGCGCACTGCTGATGAGTCAGTCCCATACCAAGACGAAATGGTCATCCAGTGCTTCCAGGCTTCTAATGGTGATCTAACAATGATTGATTGATGATTTCAATATATAAAAGCACTAATCTCCATAACTCTAATTAAAAAAATAGTAATTATATCAGTTGGATCTATAAGGGCAATGAAAATACCGAAGGAGAATATAACACAGATTTAGCAACTGAGTTCGATAGAACATCATTAAATTAGCAAAGGAATTCACTTTCGTACTGCAAAACTTCATATTTCCGGCCACTTCAATCTAGTATGTCTCAGAAAGCCATAGGAAGAGCTTGAAAAACCTATATACTAATAACTAATTCTCGTGATCAGAATGAGAACCTGAGGTAACTTTTCACCTACATACGGTGAATATTTGATATGTGATCAAGCTGTCAAATCATGTGGCGAAATAAAGTTTTCCGGGTTTTGATAAAGTCTTTGATGCAAAAACTATATCAATTGCCAAACTTCGAAAATACGTGAGGTGCTAGTTGTACACCTCATCCAGAAAACTTATTTGATACACTTCGCAAACAACACTTTAGACAAATTGTTTGTTGTAACTTTTCACTAATATGAAAGTTGTACAGTTGTTAAGCGCGGAAATGGATACCGAATAAATGGTCATGGATCAACTTGACGATATATTTTAGGTGATCAAATCATCTAAAAAGGATCATATTGGAATGAAATTTGTAATTGAAATCCTTAGGTTTTTAACTAAGTCAGGTTATTTATTAATGGCTCCTTTATGACCATATTTTAAAGAAAATATGATGACGCATAGATTTTGTCTGAAAAACTTTAATCTTGATCACATCAGTTGAATTGTTTAATGGAGAGATATCGTATAGGCTGTTAAAAGTGTACCAAATTGTTTGACAATCAGACTTCGTAAGCTGAATATGTATTTCACACTGAACTGTAAAGTATTTGCAGTAATCCAAGAGGTTAATGTGCTAGAATATAAATCTTTCGAAAATCTGCTTGTATATCTAAACAGTTGTATGAGGGTTAGCATTGACGCAACATGTGAGATCAGTTTTTGTATCGTGAAAATCAAAGGGCCTAGTACAAAATTGGTTTACCTTTAAGACTGTCTAAATGTTATTCTGAACAAAAGACGCATGAGATTGACCAAAACATGGTTGAAGGGAATCTTGTTTGTACAAACTAATGTTTAAGAGCCTGGGATAGGTGAAAGCTCTGTTTTTAACCCTCGTTTAATGAATACAAGGGTCCTATAATGTGTTAGTAAATATTATGATTCAATAACTGCTGGTACTTTAAAACATTGATGTCAGTGACACGGACGTGTTTTACACTCATTATCCCAGTGAATCTCTAATTGAAAGCTATTTTTTCATAGGACCAGATGCAAAACGTAGGAAGTTGATCGAATTTCAATAAAGAATGAACGATCTAATATTAGTTGTATTTAGTATGCAGTATCACCACTCCCAGTATGGAGTTTTAAATGTCCTACAACATAATGGTTTGTGAAGTTATTCAATAGGGTTCAGAACAGAGGACAGATTATTGTGAATCCATCACTAGTCGATAGGTTAAGCGTTCGCGAGCAATATCAAACGTCGTGGGTTCGATTCCCGCGAGTGAGGGTAGCGGATAGACACTGCTGATGAGTCCCATACTGGGACGAAACAGCTGTACAGTGATTCCCTGGTTTCCAATGGTGACCTACAATTTACACGATCTTCTCATATCTGTTTCCTGATATTTTCTGATATCTTATTGTATTGGAAGTTTTCTTTTATGTTATAAATTAAACAAAGTGGCAATGTTGTCATATTAATGCAAATATCGATCGTAAGACAACAGATGATTTAATGTAGTGCCCAGTTATCATATTCATTAGTTTTCTTTTCTGATTGATTTATTTCTCATTTGACCCATAAAGGTTCCAGATCATGTCCAGGTGCTCGTATAGCCAATTTACTACTTGAACGTATTTTAACAGCAATCAATGAAGAATTTCTTATTCAAAATGTTAGTCAATCACCAATTGAAACTGTGAATCCAGAGGATCAAGAAAGTTTTACACCATTTGGTATTACACGTACTCCACATAAATCTATGTATATATTTATGACAAAAGTCAGCAATGGTACATGAAGAACAAATATTTAATGGATCTAATTTTTTGCGCTAAATTTTCAAATAAACATTGCTTCCATGTTGTGCCTTTTTTTTTCTGATGAAAAATTATTTTTGTTATTGTCAATTAGTTCTTTTGAACATTATTTTTTGGTTAAAAAAAAAACAAACAAACATTCAACAGTCATTCTGTGTATCAATGAAAGAGTCTAGATTTGATATCAATATAATTTTTTTTGCTATTTTGAAAATATATATAATTCTGTGAAATTATTACATAATTATTACAAATAGGTTTTTTTTTAATATTTACAATACTGGGATATTTAATAATCATGTTCTTTAAGTATTCACTAATTAATTGATCATTGAACTATGAGAATTAACCTGGAAATTTAAAAGTATAACATCGTTGAATGACAAGCGACGAATAGATTGACTGAGAGCTTTATGTCAGTCAGTCAGTCAGATGAAACGTAGAACTTCGTATGTAAGTACATCAGTTCATGTTGCCATACCATATCAGCAAAGAGATATAATTGTCAATTCAAATCCAATAGTAGAAGAGGTAGTACGGGTATTAGAAGCAATCGGAGAGGTTAGGATTAGAAGATACTATTCAAGAAGTATGATTCAGTGAGAAAAGTTTAGAAAGTCAAAAGTAGAGAGGTTGAAGAATCCAGAAGATTAGGATTTGAGAGAACACAAAGAATAAATGCACCGGCGCCATCGCAAACAGTTTTTAGCCATATCATTCAAGGTCTCTAACCATCGATTATTATCATCTTGCGGAGCCCAACCAGGTAGTTGACAACTACCGATATGGCTAAGTCCACTCGTCAATGACTTCATGGATTTCTGCCATGTTTTGGTCTGGCCGCCCCTAAATTTCTTCCAACCTACTCCTACACCACAAAACATAGCTCGTCGAGGCAGTCGGTGGTTAGCCATACGTAAAACATGTCCCAACCACCTCAACTGATGAAGTTTCATTACTTCATCTATTTATCTGCCATTCTTACCTAGCACATGATTCCTAATAACAGCATTGATCACTCGGCTGTCCCACGATATACGAGCAATGCTTCTTAAACATCTATGATCGAATACTAGTAACCTACGAACATCTTCTACTCTTAACGGCCATGTTTCACAGCCATATGAGAGAACGGAACGAACTGCTGCGCAGTGCACCCACCCTTTGGTTAGCGAACGGATATCACGCCTACGCCATAAGTGACGCAGGTTGGCAAAAGCCAATCGAGCCTTCTGTATCCAAGCTGAGATTTCGTCAGTCACCAGGCCATGGGAACTGATGAGACTCCCAAGATAAGTGAAGTAGTCAACACGTTCGACTACTTCACTCCCTATCACTAGTTCAGGTGCCGATGCAACCCAATCTCAAAGCAACATTTTGCATTTTGAGGGAGAAAACCGCATCTCGAACATGCTTGCATTGTTGCTTGGGGTAGTCAGAAGACTCTGCACTTTGTCAGCGTCTTCATCAAGTACGACTATGTCATCAGCATATTCTAAGTCGATAAGCGAGCCTCCTCGTAAAACGTCTACTCCTGAAAATTCAGACGAGTATAAGTTTATATCTGGGAGCATGTCTACGATAAAATTAAACAAGAATGGAGAGAGTGGACATCCCTGACGGACACCACTTGAAGTGAAGAATTCCGGTGACAGTTAGCAGTGCGACTTCGCTCTCAAACCTAGAGGAGCTGCTTTTAGTCTCATCGATCTCCAATCGACCTGCCTGGCATGGTAGAACCTTCAGGAACAAATGTTCCAACCAGTATAGCTCGGTCGGGTCATCACGATAGGCAAGCCCGACCACCACGTCAAGGTAGCAGCTACGGTCGGGGAGAGCTTTATGACAGCTAGTTTAATAGGTAGGTTTCTTCTTGTCAAGGATTGATACTAACTGGAGTGCCATTGAGAACTATGGAGCAATAAGTAACTTTAGTTTTAATATGTTAATCTTAGGCAATTAATAACCTTGACCCCCATTATGTTGACAATGAAGCAAGATTAGAAAAGCGTAATTTCACGAAGTGATTGACGTTGTCGTTATCAACAGCTAGACTAGAACTCGAAGGTCTAAATTTATTGATTATGCTTTCGAAAATTCAATAGGGTGTATTTGATACTTGGTGAATGTACAACATCTATAAAGTCCTATATCCCGACAAAAGGATTTTCTGTACTCAATCCTTAACAAAATTGTCTTTCAAAATCATTCCAACCTCTAATTGTATGGACTGAATGTATTTAAAGCTGAATATATTGATTACTTTTGCTGTAATGCTTCGTATCGATTGCAAACATTAGAAACAGATAAAGGAATCAAGTGCTTTAATCATTGGAAATTAAGTTGACATTCCTAATCTTAACAATAAAATGAACTAAAAAATACAGTGATAATCTGAAACCTTGTAATTGAAAATAATGCGCATATATAAATGTGGAGAATTTAACCGCATTGTGTAGGGTTGCAAGTAATAACAACAGGCAGTTACACAAAATGCAACATAATTGATGTCCAGTTAACTCAGATGACATTATGTAAATAAGTGGCATTACTTCAGAATTGCTGGTTTTATCAGAGCAAACAAGAATTTGCTACTCGTTCCTTTTATATAAATAGGGATTTACAAAGTAAATTAATTAAACTATACATTATCAGTTAACTAATTCATCATAGATATCTCAGAACCATTTCTCGTTTATCGTGGGACGACCGAGTTAGTAATGCTGTTGTCAGGAAACGGGCGCTAGGTAAGGATGGCAGGTCAATAGTTGAAGTAGTGAAACTTCATTAGTTGAGGTGTTGGAACATGTGATGTGTATACTTAACCACCGGCTGCCTCGACGAGCTGTTTTGTGATGTAGAAATAGGTTGGAAGAAAGCTGGGGGCAGCCAAGTCAAAACATGGCACAAATCCATGAAGTAACCGACAAGTGGAGTGATCCATGTTAGTAGGTGTAGACTACCTGGTTGGGACCGGCAAGATGATAGTAATCGATGGTTAGAGACCTTCAGTGACATGGCTCAAAATCGTTTGCAATGGCTTAGGTGCATTTACTCTTTGTGTCCTCTCAAATTGTAACATTCTGAATTCTTCATCACCTTTATCTTTTTCTTCTAAGCTTATTTCACTGGATTCTACTTCTTGAATAATGTCGTCGAACCCTAATCTCTCCGACTACTGCTAATACTTCAACTACCTTTACTACTATTGGATCTGAATTGATTAGTAAATCTCTGTGTTAACGTGGTATGGCAACATGAACTGATGTACATACGAATTTCTACATTGTAGTTGGCTGACTGATTGATTACTGACAAGAATGTTAATAATAACATAACAACTGACAAATTACTAAAGCGATTCTGAATGATTCATACAATGTTTACGTTAATACTTTACGCGTTTGCGAAATTTATGCTGAACAATGTCAAACTTGAAGTTTAATATTCTACATTAATTTCTATATCTACCATTAAAGAACTATTATGTGTAACTGGTTTGAGAATAATAAGTGTACGGAATAAATACTGACTGTTAATTATTGCTACCCTAAGAAGTGAACAGAGGTTACCACTGAATGGTCAGTCAACGTTAAAACCTCAGCTATTCAAAACGTTCATTCTCAGGCTGAAAACTTCACTGGTAACCTCTCAGATTATATGTCAAGGTGATACGGGTTCGAAACATATGGTAAACATCGATTTTATCAAAGTGAATAGTGACAAAGAGCATGAGACTTAAATTCAGGGTATTTTGAATACTAACTCCAACCACGCTAATGCATAAAATGTGAAAATAAAGTTACTCAACTCTTGAGAAGTAAACTAACTACTTAGCAAACTAACTGCGTAGTATGTTCCTTACATTCAAATTTTTAAGCTATAAATATTATCGCTTCCATCCTACTTCTTAGTTTACAAAGTATGATCGTATGTTTCAAAGAAACTGATAATTTAATCCATCAGGTATTATTGAAATTTTCTAGAAAATCCATTCAAAATACGAATCACAATAAACTTTCCCTGTAGAAATTCATTTGTTGGGAAACAAACTATTTCCCAATAATTCCTGATTTCAAATTTAAAGCTTAAATTGTTGAATAATTTTCTAAATTATATTCAAGAAGTTAAAACACAAACTAACTCTTGCACATAGATTTTCATTTCAGTAAAAAACTACTTGACATGATTATCTTTATAGCTTTAATATAGTCAACGATATTAAAGTGTAACATTGGTTTCAATGAAATTATCGGTTTCTTTTCTATAAGAAGTAAGATGCAGCCTTCAACCAGCCATATATTTCGTCTAATCTAGAATATTAATATTTCAAACCTAGTATCGGTCAAAATTTACAAAGCTACTGTAATAATTAGGGAGACATTTAGACGAATAATTGTTGTCGCAATTCAAAGTATCCATTTGTAGATAATAAGAAAACGTGAGGGGAAATGTGGTACATCAACATTTGCTTATACCATATCATTCAAATAAAATATTCGTTTATAAATGCACAGGTGTCTTCATTGATGACCGATTGAAAATCGTGAACTATAAGTTCATTTTACATGTTTGCTCTCATTATCGAAGCATGTTTTCAAGTTTTAGAAACTATGTGTTACTCATGATTCACCTTTATGAGTCATAGTTGAGTGAGTTATAAATTTGATTGGATTAATTTGACCAGATGTTGCTTGAAAATGGCAATGTGAATAAGTTTTATTTTTGTTATGCCTGCACGTAAACACGTCAACTTGATATACTTGAACTATTACGAGTTTAACTAGTCGAAAAACGAAAGCGAGGATCGAGGATCCCATGACACGACATACTACTCAAATCCAATTATCCCGACCCCCATATTAAGTAAAAATAAGAAGACGTGATAGGAAGAAGAACATGTATTCTACAAGCATCCAGTAAGTACGAGGTCCGAATCCAGAAGAGAATCAGGATCCCGGACTAGGGGTCCGAGACCGAGCCCTGGTCTTGTTCGTGGTCATAAAATGTTACAGATAATGCGTATTTATACATTTTGGTCGAATAG